CGAACGTTTGTTTCGCGTCGCAGATGGAAAGCTCAGGAGAGAGCATCAACATTTTCATAAAGCTCCCTTTATACCGCTGTCCTGTTTCGCAAACGGAACTAGAGCGAGACGGCCGACGCACGACGCAAACCGCGAGTCGGTGCGCGAGTGGCGCAATATCCTTTCGAGAATCAATTCGATAACAATGTTGCGCGATAAAAACAACGCGCAATTTGTCGAATAAAGGTCACGCACGCGTGAGCACTAGTTCTCGCTGTGTATCCGCGACGTATCGGTTCGGTGATTCGCCTTGAACGTCGACCACGGCGGCGGCGGCGGCGGCGGCGATGCTGACCGATTCGACGCGTTCAAGTGCGCGTCCATTTATTATTGTTACTTACGAAAAACGATACTTCGTTCCACCGACGCACTATTTCACCGAATTTTCATATATATCACTCACGTGCGCGAATCGACCTTAATTCGGCTACGTGCAGCTGGTGATAAACGCGAAATTTTAACGCGACTCCCTCCTCGCGCCGCAATTGCAGAGTGTGTATTTTTATCGAATATGAAAGTTTACAGCGGAATGCATAAATTGAACGTAAACATTGCAATTTCGCAGAAAATGGGAGCGAAAGGAAACAAATTACGCAATAACTGCGCGAAGGGGAACCAGATGACGAGCGCGGTAGACGCGAAGTGAAGACGCAGTTTTGTTCTTATGAAAGAGAGAAGGGATGATTCTCCGCATTTTCCTCCTTTTCCTCTTCCTCTCTCTCTTCCCGAGTCAAAGTTTTGATCTTACTTTTGACTTTGATTAATACCCCATTTAATTCCTACCTAATATATAAACACCAATTATCAGTAAAATAAACTCTGGTATTATGGCCATACCGGAAAGATGGCCATAGGCTGTAATTTCTCTAATAATTGCAAAACATTGCGTTTATGTAATCAATCACAAAGATAATTGATATTTATCGTAGTATATGTGCGTACATTTTTCGAAATAGCAAGATTATGAATATTATACTATATTTTTATTTTTGACTACTTGTTATCATGTAAATCAAAATTATCATGTATCCACTAAAACTTGCTGTAACGTCGAATAAATTACAGTTAAGCTATAGAACGCAACCAACGTTAGATACATAAAGTAGCTATGTAAATTGTAATATAACATGAATTTTTATTTTCGTTTTCACTATTTGTTTATAAGTACTATTATAACCGTTTTTCACTCACATTTTACGTAAGATGATCCACTATTATTCTAACATTTATAAAACGAAAGTCGTTACATTTCAAAAATTACTTTTAATATTACAGTAATTAAATTTTATGTGCAATTTTTTGATCAAAAATTGGATTTAGAATTTAAGTTTTGTAATAGAGATTTCTATTTTGAGTAATCTATTCTTGTAATAGAGGTGTATATTATATTTTTCACAAATAATATGTATTAAATATCCTATACTAAAATAAATATGTCAAATTGTTTTTTTCATTATTTTATAAAATAATAGGTACAGAATCTTGAACATAAAATATGTATGGGTCATTTATTTCTTATGGCCATCTTGTCTTAAGCATTTAGGTAAGATGGTAATGCTCATGTTTTGATATTTTTGTAATAGACAATTTCACTGAAGTATTTTCCTTTTAACTCTGATGGGATTATGTATTGTAAGTTTCAGTGAAGTAATAAATGTCAAACGCTATTAAGAAATAACAATAAGAAACGTATCATTTTTGCATTTTAAAAAAGTATGGCCATCTTATTCTGACATAATACCAATATTATAATTTCTCATTCATTGTCAGCAATGTAATGTATAATTCCCCACTCAACAATATAAATGAGTGTTATGTAACAGTTGTATTTCTTGAGTGGGAAATTATAACATTGATTAATGTTAGTTGGTGTTTAGTACTTCGGAGCCAATATCGACCTTTTTCGATTCTGTTTAATCTGCCAACTTTGCCGAGAGATCCTCTTTAGAATCCACAAGTGACATTTTGCGCCATTTCCCGCCTTGTAGAGGCGCTAAATAGGTCTTTAGTTTCCAGTGTGTATTAAACACACACTGATCCCTCAGAATATACTGATGTTAGAAAGTTCCGGTCGAAAGTAGGGCTGAAATGTCGACTCAGGTTGTATGACAAACTTCGATACCCAGCTACCGTTCTTACGCAACGTTCACGCGAGGCACATTTTTAAGGATGCCGGCCGCTCGTCTCCGTCTGGCGGATTTCGTAATCGACAAGCCTTCGCGTCACTTTCACGAAGACATCTTGGCCCGGAATCGATCGCACTCATCCCGCTTTGCCATTCGATTACAAAGACAGCGATATGGAAAACGGAGACGACAGCGACGACTTGTACAACGCGATTTGACAGCTGTCACGGAACCCCGCCGCGTCCATTTTATTCGCCAGTCCAACCGAACGAAGATCCCTCGAAAGAAAAGAGAGCAGACATACGGTGCGCTTTCTTCAATTCTATTTTATGTTGTTTCGTGGATGTGAAGCCGTTCGTGCGTGGAACAGTTCTCTTGAGAACGTTGTCTCTTGAACGGATTTTCCTAATGACGATTCGCCGAGACGATTCCACGAACGATCTCAAAACATTTCGGACGAACGTGTCGCGAAAACGCGACAGCCAGAGCTCGCTCCCTTCACAATGTTGATCTTCCGGGTCTCGATTGCACAAATTGAAAAATATAATTGCGCTAAAGAAAAGCAATCCCAAAGAGGATCTCTCCTTCTCTCGAGCGCGCGTTCGTGGAGACTTTAAATGTCACTTGCAGCCTTGCAAATTTGCGGTGTCGCGATGAATCTGGAAACTTCGGAGTTTCCTTTGTTGTCTCGACTTTTCTCTCCCGAGGCTCTCGCGTAGGGACGCGCAACCGTGATGTCGGAACAAAAGTACCACGCGGTCTCATGTAACCGAATGCCGCGGATTGTTCCTCGTTGATTTTCCGGATCTCGAATAGACTGACCCGTTGACATTAAAAATAAAATTGCTACACGTTCTCTCGAAAACCCCGAGGGTGCGTCCTCCTCGGCGCGATACTTGTTGATTTTTCGAAGGCTTCTGCATGGAACAACTTGGTGCATGTTATGTTGTATAATAGAAATAAAGATAAGGAAGACATGGTGCGACCGAGAAATAATACAGATAATGATATCAATATTATAATCTATTAGATATATTATATAGGGTGCGTTCGGGGAAACGCTATTTAGTTTTATGAGCGTACTCTGTCCTTGTTTGTTACTGACAGTTGAAGAAGGACGCTCATAGTGCTAAATAGCGTCTCCCCGAAGCTATAATATTATATTAGTTATATAATATTATATAATATAATATAATATAATATAATATTATATAATATAATATAATGTTATATAATATAATATTATATAATAATAATTTATTAGATTATACCACATCCACATAGTAAACACCAACTATCAATAACATAACGTCAATGTTGTAATTATAATTACAGTATAACGCGAGTGTTACGTAACAGTTGCAATGTTGAATGAGAAATTATAACATTGATGTTATGTTATAGTGCTAAATAGCGTCTCCCCAAAGCTATAATATTATATTAGTTATATAATATTATATTATATAATAATAATCTATTAGATTATACCATATCCACATAGTAAACACCAACTATCAATAACATAAGAATAACATAATCAATAACAATCACCAACTATCAATAACATAATCAATGTTGTAATAGTGAGATATTACGGCACATAAGGAGCAAGCACGGATTTGCTAACATACTGGACAATTTTATCCTCCCACAATCATATTAATATTAAAAAGTAATATTAGTATTTAATAGCAGTAAGACATCCGTGCTTGCTCCTTATGTAGCGTAATATCTCATTATTAGTTAATCTATTCAAGGAGCTTTCTGTTATTTCGGTTTGTCAATCTTGTAATTATAATTACAGTATAACGCGAGTGTTACGTAATAGTTGCAATGTTGAATGAAAAATTATAACATTGATGTTATGTTATAGTGCTAAATAGCGTCTCTCCAAAGCTATAATATTATATTAGTTATATAATATTATATTATATAATAATAATCTATTAGATTATACCATATTCACATAGTAAACACCAACTATCAATAATATAACAATAACATAATCAATAACAATCACCAACTATCAATAACATAATCAATGTTGTAATAGTGAGATATTACGGCACATAAGGAGCAAGCACGGATGTGCTAACATATTGGACAATTTTATCCTCCCACAATCATATTAATATTAAAAAGTAATATTAGTATTTAATAGCAGTAAGACATCCGTGCTTGCTCCTTATGTAGCGTAATATCTCACTATTAGTTAATCTATTCAAGGAGCTTTCTATTATTTCGGTTTGTCAATCTTGTAATTATAATTACAGTATAAGAGTGTTACGTAATAGTTGCAATGTTGAATGAGAAATTATAACATTGATGTTATGTCAATGATGTAATTTGTGTTTGCTGGTTAGTAATAATCTGATAGACTATAATAATAATTTATTAGAGTGACGAGAGCCACACGTGGGTTTCTCCTTTAATACTCACGTCCACAGCGTTCAGGAGCCTGTCTTTATCTTTGTCCATAGCCGGCATTGCTTGCGACCACTCCGCAAAGAGGGACAACACCAATGCTAGTGCAATTGCGCTTCGTACCGACGGCATCTTGTCGCACCTGGGAAATGAGCGTGAGAACGATCGAGTGAAAGATCCCGAATGTGAACTTGGAGGCGAACGAGTCAAGAATTGATTTTCCCGGGGATAACTTTGCTCGTCGATCGTAAGAGCTTCCCTTGTAAACGCCAGTTGTCGTCACTCGTTATCGTTAGATAGATGAGCGATTTGTCGCGTTTCGCCGCGTGCGGTGTAAATAAAATGCGGCGAAGCGACATAAAACGCGAGGGGACGCGCACGAATCGCCGAGCAAGCGGATTCTGAGCGTTCTGCTGACGGCGAGGTAACGACTCCACGTTAACGGACGCGAGAGACGCGCAGCGCTGTCGAGGCTCTTCCGTGCCGTTACAGACGAGGCATATCGGCGAAAGGGGCGGGTTGTGCCGTATGCCGAGGGGGGCGAGCAGGCCAGGCCGGGTCGGCGGTGGATATAAATACAAAAGGGTCGGTTAAATGAAAAACGAAGCCCGCGCGCGCGAAGCTCGTCCGCGGTTGGTTACACAATCCGCTAATTGGAGGGACAATCGATGCATTATTGGCGACCGTGTGATCAGATAATTGTTGCGGCCGACGCGCGAGCGAAGGAATTTGAATCACAAAGCCCGCGGCTACCGCTCGCGCGAATTTAATTCATTAATTAGAAAGGTCATCGTGATAATTCGAGCGCGCATCGAGACCCAGCGGGTGCGCGGCTTGTATGCTCGTTGTTATGGATACTAATGCTCATGTTCATACTGATACCGCGAAAAATATGATAATTGGCGGAAGATAATGCGCCAGAGAGCTCGGCCCGCGGAGAGGGATAAGATAGATCGAGATCTCGCGCGAGAAAACCCCCGAGACGAATTAATACGTGAACGTTATCAACGCGAAGGAATGTCGGAATGTTTGCGTATAAACGCCGCATTTGTTAGCTTTGTGAGATAGAAAAGAAAAGAAATTTTTGTATTCATGGACAGGCACGAATGGTGTATTGGTCACGAAACTTGCGCTTTGCATCCTTCAATCACGCGACGTTTATCAATGTTCGCCGCGCGAGCAAGATGTCAGCAGAGGGATGCGCTTATCCTTCTAATCGGTAATGTTATGTCGTATAAATATTATGTCGTGCAGATACAATCAAAAGTGACATTACACGAAAAATTATTATTAGTAAACACGTAGTCTCATCGGTAGCATTTTTTCAGAAAGAGAATTTCTATTAGGACCTTAACTTAGTTTCCGCCCAAAAAATACTGAGAAAAAGCATTTATTGTAAAAAATGTATTTAAATTATTTCAATGAAAGTATTTTCCATCACTTTCTACAACTTTTTGCCATCTTTCTGGCAACTGGGCGATACCATCTCGATAAAACGATGTTTGTTTCGAAGCAATCCATTCGTCCACCCATTCTCGCACTTCTTCAACATTTCGGAAGCGTGTACCACTCAAGCCGTGCTGCATCGATCTGAACAAGTGGTAATCAGAAGGCGCTATGTCTGGTGAGTACGCTGGGTGAGGAAGAGTTTCCCATTCGAGCTGCGTCAGTGTTTCTTTGACGGTTTTTCCAGTGTGTGGCCGAGCGTTATCGTGTAAGAGAATAACTTTGCGCCTGTTACTCGCTATTGCTGGTCTTTTTCGCAACAGCTCATCATTCAATTTGTTCAATTGACATTTGTAGACATCGGCAGTAACAGTTTCGTTTGGTTTCAGCAGTTCGTAGTACAGCACTCCTTGCTGATCCCACCAAATGCAAAGCATTACCTTATGACCGTGGATGTTCCGTTTTGGCTGCGATGTTGATGGTTGTCCTGGGTCTACCCATGATTTTTTGCGTTTGGGATTGTCGTAGTAGATCCACTTTTCATCGCCAGTCACAATACGCCACAGAAAACTCTTCTTTTTTTGCCTGGCAAGCAACGAAACCGTGATATTGAAACGGTTGTGAATGGCACTTTCAGACAATTCATGTGGTACCCATCTTCCTTCCTTTTGGATCTTTCCCATGGCGTGTAAACGTTTGGAAACAGCTGCTTCAGTAACTCCTAGCTCGTTTCCAAGTTCTTGTAACGTTCGAGCCGAGTTTTCATGCAATAATGCTAGCAATTCATCGTCTTGGAATTTTTTTGGCTGTCCTGAGCGTGGTTTGTCATTGACATCAAAATCATTACTTTTGAATCGTCTATACCACTCTTTACATGTTGTATGTGATGGAGCTCGATCACCATAACCTTCTTCAAGTAATCGATGAACTTCTGCTACACTTTTTTTCAAATCAAAATAGTGCAAAAGCACATGTCGAAAAAACACTTTATCGCGTTCCATTTTTCACAAAGCAAAAGAAATTGTTGTTTAGGAAAATAATTGTGTATGCTGACTGAATGTTATCGAGAAATGTCGAAATTAATCACAAACTACCTGTTTCGTTAGTAATGACTACTAGAACTGTTTGCATTGCCATCTAACATTTGCGGGCGGAAACTAAGTTAAGGTCCTAATATAATCTTTTGTGCTTAAAAAGCTTACATCGTTAACGGGTTTATAAAGCAGAAATTATCATAAAAATAATCCACGAAAACTGGGCAGTTTTCATTATAATAGCCAGTTATTAATTTATGTAATTTCGTCGACTCGTGCGACTTTATGAATCTGAAAGCCTCCGAGTTCTATAGAGCGACTCACTGATCTTGCGGGTCTTCACGAATAGACATAATCGCGCTTATGAAGTCAAAGAAGAGAGAAATGTCTCGTACAACAATTTATCTTTATTACAAGACTCGTACGTTACATTGCGAATTAGAATCGACGTCTTTTAATCGCGTGTACCAAACTTAGTGGCAGAGGCGATGTCTGACCGCACACGTTTTCTTCTACTGGCGCGGCGCGCGCTAACTTGTAGCCTGCGGCGAGAAGCGATCGCGGCACCTTTCAATTCAACGAATTTTAATATTTAATTTTACGAGAGCAGCTAAAAGTTATTTACGATCGTCCGCACGATTTTTCCCCTTCCTAAGCGTATAGCAAAGAGTCGCGTTGCAATCGCTGCGTTTTAATCGCTTCCCTTCGCGCGAGCTCTCTCCTCGCATCTAGACGCTCACGTATTACGTGCGACAACTTCATTGCGGACGAGAGAAGATCCAATTTGTCTCCGTCTCTGTCTGTCCGTTCGTCTGTCTGTCTGTCTGCCTGTCTGTTAAACACGAGGAGGGAACGCTATATTATATGTCGTGACTCTCGCGAACGTAGACGTTGACGCGCAGGAATTCGGGAACATGAGAATTCGTACCTCGTATGGCCCGCTGATACCGGCTGTCGTGCCCTCAGGAAGGGTAAGTTGGAGGAGAAAGTGGTAGCGATGTGGTCGGTAGTGTCGACTGGTAGTACAAGTGTTCACGAGTTCTCTCTGTTCAAGGTTTCCTCGTCGCTCGTTGCTGAAGAGGAGCGTCTCCTTGATGTCTCCACGACAGAGTGACCGAGCTTGGAGCACGCGACCACTTTATACTCCGTCACGCTACCGTTGGCGGATGGTGGCGGTAGCAGAAACCCACCCCTGAACCGACGCCCTCACCCTCGCACTCTCTCTCTCTCGCTCTCCCTCTCTCTCTCCCCCCCTCTCTCTCTCCCTCTCTTTCTCTGGCGTACACGTATGTCTGCGTTTCCTGCGCGGAATCCACGCGTGTAAAACATGTAAATCTCCCCGACCTCGCAGTTCTCTCTCAGGATTTCGCGTTTCCGCGATCTCTCCGTCGCGCTCATCGATGTTGATCGCGTTGATCGTCGGGTGCTCGAAGTTGAATGGTAGAGGTGAAGGTCGGGGTGACGCGATGAAACAGTAGACGCAGGGACAAGTTGGCTCTTGTCAACTCTCTCCGAAGGTTCGCGCCCGTTTTCGTTCTGCGCGATTAGTTATCTTGCGCGAGTCCGATCGATCGCGCGCGCATGCATTCGCTCCGTTTGCCTGAGAATGCGAGACGTAACGTTTCTGCTTCTGTTGCGGTTCAGCCGGCATTTATCTAAGTATCTCTTAACGATTACTCTTCCGAGGAAAAGAGAAACTGAGAGAAAAAGAGAGAAAAGCTCGGGAATTACGTGAACGTACACGCGAGCGAAATTACGGCGAAAAATTACAGAAGAGGCCAAGCGCGCACCTTGTCAGTTGGGAAGAATGCAGCGAGCTAATTACGAATACTGCTGTAAGTCTGGCTATTATTCTCTTTGAGCGTTATCCCGCGACATCCTGAAAACGTATTAATTATTAATTCACTTGGGAATACTTATGTTAACTCGACTACGTCGAGCCGTTTCATCGGCACGCTCGCTTCCTACCTCTTTGTCTCTCTCTCTCTCTCTCTGTCTCTTTTTTTCTCTCTCTGCTTGTTTAAAAAAACTCTGCGAGAGAAATCCGATAACGTTACATTCTATGCGCACAACACGTGTCCCGACACACGCGAGAGAGAAAAATTATAGCGAAGCTTTTGGATGCTCTTTTAATCAGAATCCTCCCCCAGCTTATATTTGAAGACAGTTTTTTCTCGACGGAGCGAACTTCGAGGGGTCACTTATCGCGCTGTTCCAGCTCCTAGCATTGTGTATACTCTTATAATCAAATCTGAAATTAGAATTCTGTTGAAGTCTGAGATCGCCCGAGGAATACGATTTCGTCGGTCACCGTTGTCTCGCCGGAGCTTAATTAGCAAAGTGCTCGTTCCCTCTAATCGCCCATCAACCGAGAACCTCGACATTAAGGAAGAATCAACGGTGACATTTATCGGGGGATCTGTCCTGTTTTAAAATCGAAGTAACGGGATATACTTAACATTTGTATTTACAATGATTTTACACGCGTGAACATAGCCGCGGCGAGTTGACTGGCGAAAAACAATGAAAGTTTCCCTGCCTTACAGATTGCACTTTGATCAACACAGCCGAAGTAATGGTCAGCGTGTCAGACTATCGTGATATCTCTCTGGACGGAAGTGATGCGACAAAGGAATCATCCTCTGTGCCGGACGTTATCAAAACTGTTTCGGATAATGCGGGATATCGGGCGTTGCATCGCTTCAAGCTCGACAAAGTAACGCAATCGCGCGCGAATTCGGACTTTCGTGCCTTACACTTTAAATGCGTACCAAATTGCACGCATTCGCTGAACATAATCGTATAATTGATACGTAATTTTAGAGCAATAGAATCTTCTTCTGTCATGTCTTTTATGCATGCATCTCATGTTGATATATGATACGCATTTGATCTTTCAAGGTATTCGCGAAGGAGGTGCAGGATGCACTGGAAACGGTATCGATGGAAGCTAGGATGCGTCATCATGAAGTGATCGATATTCGACCGACCGAGTGCGAAATAACGCGATCGCAGGATTTCTATTTTAACCAAATGAAAGAGGCCGCTGAAAAAGCGCCCGTTACTGGCCTGCTTCCGGTAGGTCGTATTGCAAAATTCACCATTATCGATTAACCGCGCGTATAGTGTGCATTTACGCCGACTGTCTGATTTTCGGAATATTGCATCCCCATTAGTCACCATTTCGTGATCATAATGTAAAGATTTATTTTTAGTTGGAACGTGGAAAGCAGAATGCTCTTCTCGCTTGTTCGATTTATTTGTTTCATTTTTATTTACATATTTGTCTCTGACAAAAAAAAGTATATATATATATTTTTTTTTTTATTTGAAGAAAATATTTTATATTAGTGTAAGTAAATATGTTATTGGTACACACTGAATAAATATTTGCTATTTTTACGTATGTTTTCTTTCAGTGTACTTTGAAAATTGTGTCAGTCAGAGACAAATATGTAAATAAAAATGAAACAAATAAATCGATATATATATATATATATATATATCGATTTATTTGTTTCATTTTTATTTACATATTTGTCTCTGACTGACGCAATTTTCACAATGTTCACCTCAACCTGTTCTATGTCCCCACAAAATACCCGGAGGAGAATGTGAAATATCCTGTATATATATATATATATATATATCGATTTATTTGTTTCATTTTTATTTACATATTTGTCTCTGACTGACGCAATTTTCACAATGTTCACCTCAACCTGTTCTATGTCCCCACAAAATACCCGGAGGAGAATGTGAAATATCCTGTATATATATATATATATATATATCGATTTATTTGTTTCATTTTTATTTACATATTTGTCTCTGACTGACGCAATTTTCACAATGTTCACCTCAACCTGTTCTATGTCCCCACAAAATACCCGGAGGAGAATGTGAAATATCCTGTATATATATATATATATATATATCGATTTATTTGTTTCATTTTTATTTACATATTTGTCTCTGACTGACGCAATTTTCACAATGTTCACCTCAACCTGTTCTATGTCCCCACAAAATACCCGGAGGAGAATGTGAAATATCCTGTATATATATATATATATATATATCGATTTATTTGTTTCATTTTTATTTACATATTTGTCTCTGACTGACGCAATTTTCACAATGTTCACCTCAACCTGTTCTATGTCCCCACAAAATACCCGGAGGAGAATGTGAAATATCCTGTATATATATATATATATATATATCGATTTATTTGTTTCATTTTTATTTACATATTTGTCTCTGACTGACGCAATTTTCACAATGTTCACCTCAACCTGTTCTATGTCCCCACAAAATACCCGGAGGAGAATGTGAAATATCCTGTATATATATATATATATATATATCGATTTATTTGTTTCATTTTTATTTACATATTTGTCTCTGACTGACGCAATTTTCACAATGTTCACCTCAACCTGTTCTATGTCCCCACAAAATACCCGGAGGAGAATGTGAAATATCCTGTATATATATATATATATATATATCGATTTATTTGTTTCATTTTTATTTACATATTTGTCTCTGACTGACGCAATTTTCACAATGTTCACCTCAACCTGTTCTATGTCCCCACAAAATACCCGGAGGAGAATGTGAAATATCCTGTATATATATATATATATATATATCGATTTATTTGTTTCATTTTTATTTACATATTTGTCTCTGACTGACGCAATTTTCACAATGTTCACCTCAACCTGTTCTATGTCCCCACAAAATACCCGGAGGAGAATGTGAAATATCCTGTATATATATATATATATATATATCGATTTATTTGTTTCATTTTTATTTACATATTTGTCTCTGACTGACGCAATTTTCACAATGTTCACCTCAACCTGTTCTATGTCCCCACAAAATACCCGGAGGAGAATGTGAAATATCCTGTATATATATATATATATATATATCGATTTATTTGTTTCATTTTTATTTACATATTTGTCTCTGACTGACGCAATTTTCACAATGTTCACCTCAACCTGTTCTATGTCCCCACAAAATACCCGGAGGAGAATGTGAAATATCCTGTATATATATATATATATATATATCGATTTATTTGTTTCATTTTTATTTACATATTTGTCTCTGACTGACGCAATTTTCACAATGTTCACCTCAACCTGTTCTATGTCCCCACAAAATACCCGGAGGAGAATGTGAAATATCCTGTATATATATATATATATATATATCGATTTATTTGTTTCATTTTTATTTACATATTTGTCTCTGACTGACGCAATTTTCACAATGTTCACCTCAACCTGTTCTATGTCCCCACAAAATACCCGGAGGAGAATGTGAAATATCCTGTATATATATATATATATATATATCGATTTATTTGTTTCATTTTTATTTACATATTTGTCTCTGACTGACGCAATTTTCACAATGTTCACCTCAACCTGTTCTATGTCCCCACAAAATACCCGGAGGAGAATGTGAAATATCCTGTATATATATATATATATATATATCGATTTATTTGTTTCATTTTTATTTACATATTTGTCTCTGACTGACGCAATTTTCACAATGTTCACCTCAACCTGTTCTATGTCCCCACAAAATACCCGGAGGAGAATGTGAAATATCCTGTATATATATATATATATATATATCGATTTATTTGTTTCATTTTTATTTACATATTTGTCTCTGACTGACGCAATTTTCACAATGTTCACCTCAACCTGTTCTATGTCCCCACAAAATACCCGGAGGAGAATGTGAAATATCCTGTATATATATATATATATATATATCGATTTATTTGTTTCATTTTTATTTACATATTTGTCTCTGACTGACGCAATTTTCACAATGTTCACCTCAACCTGTTCTATGTCCCCACAAAATACCCGGAGGAGAATGTGAAATATCCTGTATATATATATATATATATATATCGATTTATTTGTTTCATTTTTATTTACATATTTGTCTCTGACTGACGCAATTTTCACAATGTTCACCTCAACCTGTTCTATGTCCCCACAAAATACCCGGAGGAGAATGTGAAATATCCTGTATATATATATATATATATATATCGATTTATTTGTTTCATTTTTATTTACATATTTGTCTCTGACTGACGCAATTTTCACAATGTTCACCTCAACCTGTTCTATGTCCCCACAAAATACCCGGAGGAGAATGTGAAATATCCTGTATATATATATATATATATATATCGATTTATTTGTTTCATTTTTATTTACATATTTGTCTCTGACTGACGCAATTTTCACAATGTTCACCTCAACCTGTTCTATGTCCCCACAAAATACCCGGAGGAGAATGTGAAATATCCTGTATATATATATATATATATATATCGATTTATTTGTTTCATTTTTATTTACATATTTGTCTCTGACTGACGCAATTTTCACAATGTTCACCTCAACCTGTTCTATGTCCCCACAAAATACCCGGAGGAGAATGTGAAATATCCTGTATATATATATATATATATATATCGATTTATTTGTTTCATTTTTATTTACATATTTGTCTCTGACTGACGCAATTTTCACAATGTTCACCTCAACCTGTTCTATGTCCCCACAAAATACCCGGAGGAGAATGTGAAATATCCTGTATATATATATATATATATATATCGATTTATTTGTTTCATTTTTATTTACATATTTGTCTCTGACTGACGCAATTTTCACAATGTTCACCTCAACCTGTTCTATGTCCCCACAAAATACCCGGAGGAGAATGTGAAATATCCTGTATATATATATATATATATATATCGATTTATTTGTTTCATTTTTATTTACATATTTGTCTCTGACTGACGCAATTTTCACAATGTTCACCTCAACCTGTTCTATGTCCCCACAAAATACCCGGAGGAGAATGTGAAATATCCTGTATATATATATATATATATATATCGATTTATTTGTTTCATTTTTATTTACATATTTGTCTCTGACTGACGCAATTTTCACAATGTTCACCTCAACCTGTTCTATGTCCCCACAAAATACCCGGAGGAGAATGTGAAATATCCTGTATATATATATATATATATATATCGATTTATTTGTTTCATTTTTATTTACATATTTGTCTCTGACTGACGCAATTTTCACAATGTTCACCTCAACCTGTTCTATGTCCCCACAAAATACCCGGAGGAGAATGTGAAATATCCTGTATATATATATATATATATATATATATATATACAGGATATTTCACATTCTCCTCCGGGTATTTTGTGGGGACATAGAACAGGTTGAGGTGAACATTGTGAAAATTGTGTCAGTCAGAGACAAATATGTAAATAAAAATGAAACAAATAAATCGATATATATATATATAACAAAAAAGTCCTCTACCATTTTGCAAATAATCACATAGATTTTTAATTATTAATTAAAGAAGATTAGTGCATTATCAGGCAAAATCGTACAATAATCTTCTTTAATTAATAATTAAAAATCTACGTGATTATTTGGAAAATAGTAGAGGACGTTTTTGTTCAATTTGACCTAAAGTATAACTACACGATAGCAGTCGTCGCTGCTATAACTCGTATAGGGTGTCTGATAATTGTAACACACCAACTCCATAGGGGCGTAGAGCTAAGCGAGAGGATCAGAAAAGTCCTCTTCCATTTAGCGATAACGCGTTTAGTTTGTTAGTAACAACTTTATAAAGTTTGGCGTTTGTCATGCCCATCGCGGCCTATAGACGCTCCGCGGCGAGCTGTGTGCATCGAGGCTGAAGGTGCCATTACATGAAGCGCGGAAACGCGGAAGACAAAATCTTACTAGATCCGCTACGCGTTTCGCGTCTGTTTTGATT